AGGAAAATTGAAACGTAGAAGATTTAAATTTTTAATTTCATTTATTATATTTAAATCTTTTGCGACATGAACTTTCCGGATGACCCAATATATATACATATCAAAACATTATTTTATTATAACAGTTTTCTACAAGAAAATACGCATATATGTAATTCATACTCAATCGCAAAAACAGACTATTAAATTTTAGCACAAATTTTTAATATCTTTGAGAAGTGATATCTTAATGGAAAATTATTATAGCGAGATGAAACAAAACTCAAATTAAAACTCGAACATTCACCTTAATAATTGTGCAGATCAAATTTAAAATACACAAAGTAAATTACTAAATGACGGAAGTTGAAGAAAAACATTGTAAGATAGGGAATAAAATTTCTTATTCGGATTAATTGCGTTGCTCAGGGAAATTGGTTGTAAATCACAAAAGTGCACGAGTTTTTAAGATCATTAATTTCAAAATAAATTCATGGAATATTTTTCTACAATTCTTTTTGACAAAGTATTACAAAACGGACAACTTTTTCTTGCAAACTTATTGTTAGTATAACTTAGAAATCATTATACAAAATTTTACCAAAAAAGAAATTAAAATGTGAATTTCAAATCTTGCCTCAGTAATGCAATAGTTTGAATAAAAAATTTTTTTCTTAGTTTTTCAATAACTGGTTTCAATGTCTGCCATTTTGTAACACACTGTATAATTCAAATTTGATCAACGAGAATGTTCAAGCTTTAATTTGAACTTTGGTTCATCTCGCTATGATGATTTTTTAATAAAATATGATTACTTAAAAATATTAAAAATTTATATTAAAATTTAATGGCTCGTTTCTTGCGGGTGAGAATATAAGAAAGAATTATAGAAGAAACAATAAATCACATATTTAATTACATAAACTAATATTTTTAATTATTTTACTATAAAATTTAAATGTGTGCGCGCGCGTGTGTGTGTGTGTGTGTATGTGTGTGTGTGTAGCCAGCTTTGGATAATATATATCGTTAATCATGATTAATATAAACATGGTATCATATAATAGTTTCAAAGAAACAATTAAAATGATATGAGACCATAAAATTCGACAACACTTTTCGTTAAATTGTTGTCTCATTCATTTCGTTTTAAAAAGAAAAGGAAATAAAAAATCAAATCGTAAAAGAATTTAAAAAATGTTTTTTAAATATAAGCACGACAATAAAGATCAATAGCGATTAAATAATTAGTAATTGTTGCAAGAACTGTAAAAATGAATGAATACAATTAAATTAAATTAATACAATTAATAAAATTAGCTGATTGGAGTTGTATCATAAGGATGAATGTATCATATTTCTGAATAACACTTACTCAGTTGATACCACTCTTCCTTCATCCCTACCTCTGCTCTAGCGGAATTCAATGCGTAGCGAAACGCTATTGGAATGACATAACTCATACAAAGCGGTGCTTCATCGATTGCTGCAAAAATATTTTTAGAATTAATCAGAAATCGATCTTTTAATATTTCTATTTCTGACCCTGAACAGAGATCTTTTATTTTTAAATGTTTTCTTATTTAAATTAAATGAATTATTGAAAGACTTAAGACAATTAAATTTTTGAACCTGAAAATTTTTTTAAATGAATTTTCAGGAATTCTTAAATTTTATACAAACATATAAAAAATCTTTAAAATTTTATAGTAAAAAGTAATTTAAATAAAAGGGTTTTGATTTTACCTTTTGAACCGTAGACAACAACTTCATTGTATGAGTTTTTGCATAAGTATACGCGAAAATCTTCGGGAATATCCTTCGCTCCTGGTGGTTTGTAATTCTGTATAAATAATCAGATATTTTAGATAATTATATATTTTTAGAATCTCGCGTTGTGTTCCGTTGCATAACGAGCGAAACACAAGACAAAGCATCATTTTATTACTGTTCGACACGAACATGAAATAAGGTATCATTTTATTATTGTTCGCAGTATTAAATAAAAATAAAACGATATATCATGCGCATTATGCGTGCAACGAAATGCAACCTCGAAGTAATTTTAGCGATATTAAGTGTATCGAAATTTGATAACAACAACATATGTACCCATGTTCTATCAGTAATTAATTCTCCTGTATCAGGAGCATATACCAGATCCTCAGAAGTCCAGTATCCTATTCCCATCACGAAAGCTCCCTCCACCTGACCAACATCAATTTTCGGATTCATACTTAAACCAGCATCGATCATCAAATCAACTCTTCTAATAATATGCTGACCGGTCAACAAATCAATCTCGACTTCAGCAGAGGTGACGCCATAAACGGCGTAAGGCTTCGTCTTAGCTTGCATTAGCCCAGTCATCAACCTGCCAAGAAATGGAATGTGTTGTATAATAATTAATAATGTGTGTAACATCTAAAAATCTCTTCGTACTTTATAAATACAAAGTTTAAATCTATTTCGAAATCATTCCAAAAGCATATGATAAATACGTTTTAATACTTATACGTTTTAATAATTTTAAAAAAATACAAATGATTTCTTTAAACTATATATTTTTTTATAATGTATAACTTATTTTAAGCAAAAGATAAGATAAATGTTTCTTCCCAAAGGAAGTACAATATTATCAATTTGTAATTTTCAATTTTAAAACATTGTATGATATATATATATCACTGATGTGTCAAATATAATTTAATGACATTTACATGTAACGTGCGTATAAACTAATGCCTTCTTCATATGCTTTAAAAATGAGATCCCTCCATGTCGGATTTTTCATTTTTTTTCTTATTGGCTCGAGTCTTTCTAAAATCTGTGTGCAAGCTTGAATTGTTGCCTGAAATAAATGCAATAATCAATGTCATTATGTTTTTCGTCACTGTGAAAGATGATATATATATATAATATCGTCTTCCACAGTGATGGAGACAAATTGGATTCTTACGTATTCACAGGATTCTGTAGTAATGCTGTGCCCTGTAGTCGATTTATTTGATGTCGCTAAATTATTGCTTTGTTTAACGGAGATTAATTTGATATCAATATTCAGTATGCAAGCTGTTAATTGAACAATCTGGTGAATTACAAGAATTAATTTTAAATCGGCAGAAATCTAAATCGTCTTACGTACTAAATCAAACTTTTTCCAATTTCAATAATTTTATAAGATAATTAATATATGTATTAAAAATATAGAAAATATATATCCAAAATATATATCCAAAAAAAGCGAAAAAAATCTAGAAATTTGAGACAGTTTCGATTCTATAATTTTCCAGAATAGAAACTTAATTTCAAAGAAATAAATTTTTAAATACAAATTTTCAATAATTTTATGATAATTAGATGAAAATCATGAAAGAATTTGCTTTAAACTATTGCATTTTCATACCTTGGTATTTATACCTTGATCAATCTCAATTCCACTGTGCGTCACGCATACAGAACCGTCTCGTGCGCAGACTGACACAATAGCCTCGAATTGTCCTTCATACGTTATCAAATATTTCATCGGTATCATGGCAATTCCCTTTTTCTTCCAGCGATTGTGAAAATTAAAGTCATCAATGGATTCCTTGTTCATGTTGTAATTCGTCAAATTTGACAAATCTTTTATCATGGTTTCTAGTACGGATTTATCCATATCATTCATATTTGCTAATCTGACCTCAATTGGATCCTTCTTCGTCACTTTCGCAATATGCTCCATTATATTTTCCATTATAGCCACTGCTTCCGTAGATCCTGATGCCCGGCAAAATGTGTTTGATGGTAAATCGGTTCTCACATCGAATCCGTTGAACTTCCAAGTATCGGTTAAATAGCAGCTTCTAATGATAAAAAATCGTTTGTGAGTATATTTAATTAAAAATGAACGATTAATCATCACATACACATGATAGAGTATTTTCAAATTTGATTTTAATTATTTATTGAAATTATTTAATCATTGTTAATTGAAATAATTTTTTTTATTAATATTAATATTAATATTATATTTTTTCCTTTTTTGAATGTATTTCAAAATTTTGTTTGAAATAAAATAAAAATAGTTTAATTTACTTATAACTGATTAAAAATTTTCCACTGTATTTTAAAATATTGTATAGAAAATGCATTGGACAAATTTTAATATTAGAGAAGTGTTTTAATACTATATATTATTGTTACAAATTGCTTAAATTTTTATTTATTTACATATTACATTTCAATACCTTTGCATGTAAAAAGTTACCAATTCAGCTTGTGGTTCGTTGAAACTAGAACCGCAGTTACTCCATTGATTTGATATGAGATACTGTATAACTCCTTCATTGTTTACAACGATATCGTATTCTTGACGCGCAGAACATCTCTTACCTATCGATTGCATATTACTCTCTATTGTCATGATGAATCGCGCTGGACGATTCAATTTATGACATACCAATGCGCAAGCACATGAAATTTGTGCGTTGCGTGAGATTTTTGATCCGTACGAACCGCCAAGTCGTCTGACATGTACATTGATGCTAGAAAAATTATATTCACATGATTGATGCTAATTGTTTTACAAAATGCATTTTGCAATCTTATTTTGATTTACTTATTGTTTATTTAATAATTGTTTATTTAATGTTATTTATTTTATAAAAAAAAGTAAGGACTTCTAAGTTAGAACACATTTCCTATATTAAATATACAATTTCAATTTTTGCTTGAAGGAACTTTCTTTTCAATTTCCCGATATCATCATGTGATTAATATTAATAATATAGACATTATTGAATATAGATAATAATTTGTTTTACAATAAATATTTTACATAAAGTGCTGTGAAAAGTTTATTGCAAATAATATCAGCCGGAGATTCAAGATTGAAAATTTAATTATAACGTGTACAGATCGTAGAATTCAAAATGTATTGTATTCACTCAAATATTAAGGTTTAACTTTCTCTTGCGACGATATGAGAGGAAAATTACAATCGATATAGTACAATAAATTACTTGCTAAATGAAGTCTTATTTTTTTAGTTTTTCTTTAAAGATATAATAATTCCCTATCTCGAAACCTATAAAATATGTGGCAAATTAAGATGTCTGTAATATCTATATCATGTAGAAATATAAAATAATTTCTGAAATACTTAGCTATCAACTGCTGCAAGCGCCCCTGCAGCGATTTTTGACAGATAAAAAATATACCATTATTTCAGAAATTATTTTACATTTCTACGCAACATAGCGGACATTTCAGTTTGCTGCATATTTTACATGCTTCAGAATTACGACATTAGGTTATAAAGGAAAAACTGAAAATATAGCTAGTAATATTGTTGTGTACTGCTCTTATTAACATTTTAACAAAAAATGTTGCATAATTATATTTTTTAGACTGATTTTATTTTAGAAATCATTTTAAATTGATTTTATAAAAGTAACGGCAAAGTTACAAATAGTTACTTTTTAAGTAATGATAACTATAACGAGTTATTTTTAAAAATTAGTATCGATAAATTATTTACTTTTTTTAACTCAATAATGAGTAATTATAACTTATCTTTTAAAGTAACTTACCATTTCCGGACAATTTGTTGGTAAATTATTATGTATAAATTTAACTTCAATTATAACTTTATAATTTTACAAACAATTATAACTTTACAAGTTCGACTATAAACAAAAATAATTTTATTTTTAATTTTACTTATATATGAGAGTATGTACACCTTTAATAGTGGACCTCTCAAAATTATCCCACTATAATTGTCATAATTATATATGCTGTTACAGTATAAATTATGGTATAACAATTGGGCGGATACAACATATGAATGACTTGATAGATTAATGATTGACTTGATAAATTAATGAGTTACCTATTATTCTGAACATTAAGACAATTTGCGATCGATACTTGAATGAGATCCATCCATTGTGATGACGGATAGACGTCCATACCACCCTCTACAGGAACGCATACGCAAAATTGAGTCTCTATGGGGTAATGATATTGGCCACCGCTTTGAAAAACACCTTTTAATACATGTTCAATATCGTTCCCTGTAAAATATTAAAAACTGATATTTTTTATCACACTCGCACACACGCACGCATGCACAACGTATATTATCTTTTGATTTCTAAAGTATTTATTCTCTATCTAAATTCTTTACTAAAAATGTTTATTCTCTATCAAAAATATTTATTCTCTATCTAAGCTTCAATCTTTTATTATTAAGCTTTTAACGAATAATGACTAAAACTTCTGAATACCATTCATCAGACTATTCTTGACAATATATTCTTATCTTATGTCAACATCATGGGGGATGACTTCCCTCAATTGAATAATGAACATTTTTATTAATTACTATCAGTACTTATACTATTTCACAAGTTTGCAAATATGCATATTTTATTTTTTCGCAAAACTTAGGACATATATTTATTATTTTATTTTTTCTGGATTATAATCAAATATGAAAAATGTTATTAAATGTCATTCTTTATCAACTTCTACCTTTCCTCTTTGCTGGAATTTTGATGCTCTGCCTAATTCTAGTTTCATCACCCACATCAAGAGCATCCTCAATACTTATCACTGGATTTTTCATACGTTCGCTATATGTAATTTCTATCAATTTTGCAGCTTCATTCGCCACATTATGCGTTTCCGCGACGATTACGCCAACCGGTTGGCCAGCATACAAAATATCCTTTTCGGCAAACAATAGTTCATCCTCTGGCAAGGACATCAACTTGCTGGCGGCAGAAATGCATAAATTCTTTCCTGGTATATCCTGGGCGCTGAAAAACGCCACTACACCCTCCTTTTGAAGAGCCCAACTTGCATCTATTCCACAGATCTCGCCATTGCCAACATTTGTGACGACAAAAGCGCAAAATACTTCTCTAGGAAATGGAAGCAGATCATCGCAATATTGGGCTTCGCCTGATGTCTGCTTGAGAGATTCTAATTTTGGCATAGGCTCATTTATTGGCCACAAATCCACATGCGTAATGTAGTTTTGTTTTCCTAAAATGATTATATTTTTCTTGTATGCACAATTTCAGACAATTATTCATACATTACGTGTTTTTTAATAAACAAATCAATTTAAAACCATATTCTTCTATACTTTTGATGCATAGAGAGAAAGATTTATTTTGATTTAAAAATTCTATTTATGTTTATTTTATTGAAACAATAATTAAATTTAATTATAAGTCTAAATCTAAATTGGCTCTTGAAAAATTAACATCCAACATAAAATAAAAAATATAAAATAAAAAATGGGCAATTAAGAGCTTTAAAACGCGGTAATTGATGCGCATATATAAATATATTTTTTGACAGTGTCTGATCTATTATATAAAATAAAATAAATAACTGAACGTTTCGACTGTATTCAAGCCATCTTCAGCAGCCTCCGATCATAGAAAAATTGTTTATTCGTATGTTCAACAGTGTAGTAGCAATACATGTGCAATAAGTAAGTCTATACAGATTCCCACGTCCGGGGTATAAGTAACCGTCAATTGATAAGCTAAGTGCGAGCTAAATCAAAATATAATTCACAAGAACGTTACTGGAAAAATCATTAACAAGAACGTTACTGGAAAAAAGGATAACAAAAACTAGAGACTTACACACTGCAACTCATAATTGCACAATATTATAATAAAACATAATTTAAAATCACAAAGATAAAATAAAATAATTTCTTAAAAGCAACATAGCATTCGTAGTGTCAAAGAAATATCGACTAAGGTAAGAGAACATTGGGAAATAAACATTCTAAGGAAGCAACAAATAAAGTTGTCAAAAGTTGTTACCGGATTGAAAAATAATTTAGATAGTCATTTAAGTACTCCAATTAAAATTTGTTGATTATGTTCGTGTAAACGTAGTATAAGAACTCAGTGTCTGATTTCGAATTTAGGCTATTTTCCTAAATTTTAATATGAAGCATTTCAGACACTAACCTTTTCCCAATATATCTCTCATTATCCAAAATTTTTAGTTTTGATTGGAATATTACTCCAATCAAAATCATGTTCGGATTACAATCTATGTTCAGAAATGACAGACAAGTTATCGCTCTTCTTATTGATGTCACTTTTATATTCATTAATTCTAACCTTTAATTTTCGGCCTGTCTGTCCAACATAAGAAGTATTGCAATTTTTACACTTAATTTTGTACTATATTTTTCTTAGAATCGTGATAAAGAACGTCTTTGTGTGCTTTAATGATTCTGTCAAGTTTGTTCAAACTGAAGAAAGACAATTTAACATTGTGATTTTTTAACAATGCTCTTAAATTTGTTATAAATACAAGACAAAAAAGGGATGGCAAACCACGAAGTTGTTTTATAGTCGATGTTAGTTTTCTTAGTTTGTTTAAGACGTTTTAAAAGAGACCTTAATTGTGAATTAATCGTTACAAAAATAAAATTAATAGAGTAGTCATTGTCCAGAAAAGTCTTAATAATAAAATTAAGATTATCCTTATGATATTTTGGATGAGATAGTAAAAAAGCTCTGTTCACTATTCTCATAAGAACACTTCTCTTTTAGAAAGAGGATGAAGAGACAAGAAACTGAGATACCTCCCCGAAAAAATTAATGATAAATATTTATAATTTATGATAAATATTAAATTCTAATTTTTCGTTCGTCTTAATAATCATCACATCCAAAAAATTCAACCAGTCACAAGCAACTTCCAAAGTGAACTGCAATCTTAAAATGAAAAGAATGAAATATTTCTAAAAATTCCTCAATTAGGTGATTAGGAATAATAGTCACAATGTCCACATATCTAAATTAATTTTATATGAAAACTATTTCTATATATTTATGAGAAAGCTCCATTTGTTTATAAATTTATTGAAACTTTTGACCGTCACTCTATATATATATATATA